GCTTGGGCACTATGGCTGAAATCGGGTGTGATCCGGCATCACTGTGAACCTGCACTTACTTGGAATTTTGTTTTCAACGCCTGCTGCCTTCCTTGGATAGTGACCTCTCAGCTTTCGGGGTCGGCGGCACTGGCGGCAGCCCGTAAATATGCTTTGCTGAAGAGCATATTAGGATGTATTACGGTTGAGTTCGGGTTGGGGAGCGTTCGGTGCTTCAGGCTTGGACAAAGAAGGAAGGACGCAGGAACTGGAATGCTCGAGGACGGGACTATGTCAAACAACCTCAGGCCATGGGACCATTGGAGATGAAACGCAGAAAACGCTGGGCCTGAGCATCTAGTCTCTGCTGGCGTAGCTGGATCTTGCTCTCCTATTCACAGGCGCGCTTCCCCAAGGACACAAGACCAGACATGACATTTGGGGCATCTTGTGGCAGCTGCAATCCATCCTTGCCCTGAAGGCACCAGACACACCCGGACATCGTGAGGACTGCCAGCACAAGCGCCAGCCCAAGCGCCAGCCTGAAACGGATGGGTTTGGCAACGGACACAGCATCTCATGTGTGAATCCGTCGACCCCGGAGCGTGCCGGGGCTGCCGGTGCCTTTTGGCATAGCCTTCATCTGTTTCCAACACCTTCCCCACCATCCGCCCCGCCCCTTCTTTCCCTTCCTTCTGAGCGTGAGCTTTGTGGCCTCTTTCCGCGACCTCCCACACCACCCACACCACCTCCCCCCCACCACGGCCCACCCCTTCAGCCCCCCCCCTCACTCCACCTCCGCCCGAGGCGAAGGTGTGCTCTCGGTGGCTTTTTCGTCGGTGTAACCCATCTTCCTATATATTACCGGCTTTTTCCATGTACTCGAGGGTATCTTACGGGGGAACAAAGGAGCTCAAAGGAGCCTTAAAATTTGGGCCGGGGTCGGCGGAAGTGGCGTCAGCCCTATTGAATGAGAGAGAGCGTACACCAATACACCAAAGTGAGAGCGCACCAATCGTGAGTGCACCAATGCCAGAGCCTCACCAAGAAGGCACCCTTCTTGGGTTGAGACGTGACCTTAAGGACTCAGAGCTTTTCTACCTTTTAAAATTTTACTTTCACAGATTTGAGTTAACGAACATGAACGAAACTCACTCTGAGCTGTGCTCTGAGATGTGCCGCAAGGCAAGCCGCCGAAGGGCCGGCGTCCCGTAGACCTGACCGTGTTAATGACAGTGTCTCCACATGTCTCCACATGTCTCCACATGCTCACCTCTCGGCGTCCTTAAGAGCCTTAACTATTAAGTCATCTTTTGAGTCATCTATTGTCATCTGTTGATAGCTACTGATATCTATTGATACGTATCTAGTGTCTATGGTCAAGCCGTTCTCTGGAAGTGCCAGGGCCTGCAGCTCCTGCATGCCACAGCCGTGTTCACTCCTGCAGTAGACCCGCAGCCATTGCGTGGTCACTGCCGGGAGCACTGTTTGTACTTGAGCCTCCGGGAGGATGTCTGCCACGAGGGCTTCCCATGTCAACCCATTGAAACTGATCTCAAGATCATAGCTGACTGGCCAAGCACTTGAACTTGGGCCCCAAAGCAGCACAGCATGGCTGAGGACGTAGTGGCCCAAAAGGTCCAGGCGGATCCACTGGTTGCCTGAAGCAGCAGAGGCCCAGTACGTGTCACTGAGTCCATCCACGGCTTTGGTAGCAACATGCGGCAACAGCTCGGACGAAGCCAAGACAGGTTTGCCCTGAGCGAGATTCTCGGAGGAGGGGGAGCCCGGGACCGGTTTTACTGCTTCAAAAACCTGCAGCTCTTGAATGCCGCACTGAAAGCCGGCCAAGGAGACGCACAGGACGCGCACCCATTGTGCTTGTGTGCCGGCTGGAAGCTTGGTGCGCACCCGGCTGCCCTCTGCGCCGGCCTCTGTGGCAGCGGTGGCCCAGTCGACGCCGGAACGGCTCGTCTGTAACTCATAGTGTGCTGCATATGCTACTCCCCAAAGCACCTCAATCTCTGAGATCGTGTAGAGCCCAAGAAGATCCACCCAGGCCCAGGGCTGGGATTCTGACCCAGAGATCCACTGAGTCTCCTCCAAACCATCCACTATGCGCGAGACATGCTCAAAGCCTGCATGGGAGGAGGCCAGCGTGGGCCGCCAAAGAGCAAGGTTCAGCCGTGGCCTGTCACCAAAAACGACAAGCTCGCGGACGCTGCAGCTTTCTTGACACACTACCCGCAACCACTGCGCCTCAATGGGCGGGTTGAAATCTGTTGAGTCTGAGCCAGTTGCGACATCTGAGACGTCTTTCCATTCCAGGCCATTGAGACTGGCTTGAAGCACAGCTTCTGACTCTTCACCCCAAGAAATGGCGACAGCTGCGACTTCGTAGACGCCAAGCAAATCCACCCACAGCCATTGCAGACTCTGTGGCGCAGAGGCCCACTGCGACTGCAAGTTACCATCCACGGCTTGAGCGGCATACTCCGTAGCCGAACGGAAAGAAGATGCCAGCACAGGCTTGTAGAGGGCAAGGTTGGGTCGAGCGGGCGTGGAAGTCGATGTTTCCTGAAACACACAGAGGCGAGTGATGCGGCAATCCCGCGAGCCCCTTGCCCCTTTTTTCTGTAGTTGTTGCTTTGCTTCACTCAAACGCGAGTGTGACGACCTGAAACATACTGCCACATGATGAGAGGACGGTTGGCAAGCAATGGCTGCTGTCCTGCGTGGACATGGCTGTGTTCGAACTTGTCCACGTGCTCGTCGGCGTGGTTGTGATCTGCCGACGAAGTTCGAAAAGCACACAGGACATGCACTATGCCATGCTTTAACATGCATCAATGACGAAGAAATGACGGGGAAAATGTTTCCACAGGTGAACTCAGGTCCTGCTCCCCTGTTGAGGTCACTGTCGATGAGGGTGTGCTGGGGCTTGACAACATGCTCGTGGTGGTGATCTGTTGACGCACTTCCAAAAAGCAATGACTCAGGGACGCAGAAATGACAGGCCACACATGTCCTGAAGTCGTGTGTCGACCCTCCGTTGATATCAGGTTCTTATGGCGGTCCTCTAATGAAGTCACTGTCGATGAAAGTGTCCACGTGCTCGTCATCGTGGTGG